AGTTATTTTTGGAAACCACACAGCCTAGAGAAATGATATTTAGCTGATAGATAACTGGTTTAAATTGGGATAATGCCCAAATTAGGGATGAGACAGTAAAAGTGAGTGATAAGAGTATCTGTTGTTTCTGCCCTGACTGTGGGGGGTTGAGGGACAGAAATGGGCATCCAGCAGTGTGCAAATCCATACAGAATCCTGAGAATTTGTATGGGCATTCCTGCATCACAGGTCACCTTGCATTGCAGAGGTGATTTTTACATTACCATAGTATTTTGGCACCCCATTTGTGTGTTAGGACATCAGTGTACAAGGTGAATAAACACAAGAGACTTATTTCCAGAAATTTTAGATAAGAGACAACAGATAGATACAGTTGCACCAAGAATTGTATAGAAATTGTTTTTTGATATTTAGTGGACTCAGCAAGCAAAAGTTTGGCCTTGCTACGTTTTAGAGATTCTTCAACCATGGGGAGAACGCTACAATAATAAGCATAATAATAAATACAATAATAAATACCATTAATAACGGAATGTAATGTAAAGTAATGGAATGGAATGGAATGGAATGGAATGGAATGGAATAGAATAGAATAGAATAGAATAGAATAGAATAGAATAGAATAGAATAGAATAGAATAATATTTAGTGGTAATTTCTTCAGAAATGAGGGGAGAGGGAGATAAGTTCCCAGTGCACAAAGCTGGGTGACAATGATGGAATGAACATAGACAGTAGATGAGGATGATGGAGAGGATGGGACTACTTAGGAAGGAAAATGTTTACTACATCTTCTGAGATACAATGGAATGCTACAAAGAAAAAGGTGGCATTATCAAAGCTAAGATGTCTTTGCATAGCATTGTGGATGATGTAAGCAAAGCAGCATCCTATTGGAAAGATGAGGAAAGAGGATGCCAGAGCCATTGAGATGAAAGGAGTCTGCACAGGATTTCTACCTGGGTTTTGTATTGAAAAGGCTGTTTATTGATAATTTGTGTATAAATATAACTTACTTTAGCTGCTAAGCAAGGATCAGTGATAGGAGGAATACTGCATATACTGATCTTTATTACCTTCTGCCTCCCTTTCCACAGGCATCCAGGCATCAGATTTTCCCGTGTCCTGGAGGCTGTGTGTAGATGCACAGTATGGCATGGTGTAAAGATCTCTGGTCTAAACTGAGAAGCTGATGCAGTGTATGGCTGTGCCACAAGGTCTGTTGAGATCCCAAAGTAGTGCAGCCATTGTCCCACAGTGACTAAGCTAAGAAATATAAGAAAACCCTACTAATCTGGTAAATCACAATAATAATAAATTAAAAGTAAATTTAAGGTATTTAAGTATTTAAGGATCAGTCTACTTTTATTTCTACAGAACTAAGTCTGTTTTGATTAGTACATGTTTTATCTTACTTGGGTGATGTTGGATTGTGCTTGTACTACGAAAGGAGTTTGACACCTTTATGTGTGAGATTACCCAGAGATGAAGCATAAAACCAAGTCCAGCTCCTGCCGGTGTAGGGATACCTCACCACCCCACTTGTCTCCTGTCCCAGCCTGGCTGGCTCTCTCACAGCTCCTTGCCTGGGGCAGTTTCACTCCTCTTCCCAAGAGGTGTCTTACAATATTTTTATCCCCCTGAGCAGTGTTGTGGTTACCCCATAAGCCTGCTGAGTGTGCTGGATGGTGCTACTTATGAACCAGTCACCCAGATGCTGTGGTAGCTGTTGGCTACCAGCCCCTGTGGTGGGCAACTGAATCCTGGTGTCTGACACCTGATACAGCCTGATTCTGCCCTTTTGGCTGGCAAAGGCAGAGGAATCATCATCAGAAAAGGAAGAGATTATATGTGTGATTTTAAGTACACAATTTAAACGTTTAGGCAGAAATGTTTTTATTTAAAAAAACCCAGGAGCAGCAAAATAAAGGCTTGATGAAAAATACTAATACACAAAGCAATTCCTTTTGTTTGAAAGTTATCCAGTTTATTCCAAGGACCTTTTGCAATGGTTTCTTTGCACATTAAATGTCTTACTGGAGAACTGGCATCTTGCTGTGAATTATTAACGCTTACCTAATGGGTGTTTACATATGTTTGCCTTGAAACTTAGCTCTGTAATTCGGTATGAAAACATTGAGTTTGCAAGCCTGAGCTTTAATGAAGGCGCAGAGGATGTAGAGGAAAGTGGCTGTTGTTTTTTTATGAGTAACAGTTGTGCTGAGCCTCCTCCAGTGTTGCCATTCATGAACTTCAGGGATTCTTACCTGTTTGTTATGACCACTTCATTACTTCTGAACTGTTACTGTGTCAGCAGCAGTAATAGTAAGCCTCTTCTCTAAATACCGTCTTCATTATTTCTCTATGAGAGGGTAAACCAGCCTTCAGCCATACACAGTAGTCTGGAGTGCTTCACTCCCTGTAGCCCCATTCCTGCCCACACCCTGTGCTGGACCACAGCAGCCTGTGGGGCACAGAGCCAAGCACAGAATTTACCTTTTTCAGCACCTCAGCCCTCTGACAAGGACAGGTGCACACCAAAGCTCCTCACTGTCTTCACCTGGATGGGTGACTGTGTTCTCCATTCAGCCCCTTTTTGGGGACTCGCTGTCAAGGTTCCACCTTGTAATTACATCTCTGAAGGAAGTTGGTGGGTATTACAGCCAAGGTTGCATGCTACAGTTCTCGATCCCAATCCCACTGCCCTTCAGAACTTTCATCCTCCCCTAAGCAGGAACTACTTCTGTGAGAACTTGCTTTGATAAGAAAGAAACTTACTTCAGTAAAAATTGGTTTTGCAGTGGCCACTTTGTAGAACTGGGGGAAAAAAAAGGGAGAAAACGATGCAATAAAATCACCACAACCTGAAGACCCTTCTGTGTTTAGGAGTCCAAATGTCTTACTTGGAAATGCAAGTTCAGGAATGTGACTTGAATTATTGGTGACCTTGTCACTTGAGAAGACGAATTAATTGTTATCTTTTGCCCTTGAAGATGGAGATTTGAGTGCCTTGATTAGATCTTTGTGTGAGAAGTTGGAGTGGAACAAGCAGCTCCTCTTTCCAGTATTTCAGCCTTGTTAGGGCACTGATGGCTTTCACAGAAGTCCTTGCCCTGGTTGTTAGTCATTGCTAAGAGGAATCAACTAATGATTTACCTTTTTCTGGACAAACATTTCCTAGAATGACAGCGGAAAGGATCCAGTGGCAGACGCAGTGAAGCCTGTTCTGCCAGCTCTAAATCTGTTATTTTGGAAGCAAATATGCAGAAGCTTTCCCTGTGCAGCAGCTGTGACTCGTGGGACAGCTCTGCATGCCCAGGCTCAGCCACTGCAGGGATGCTCTGCAGCAGTGGTGGCACTGGTGACACAGCTGAGCATTCCTGGCTGTCCTTGGTGTCCCCATGCCCTGCAGGATACCTTTCTCCTAAACACATGCAATCCCATTAACAGGACAGGAAAAATTACTATATTGAGTGAATATTTAACATGTAAGATTTTGCATACTTTTATTTTTTAATCTTTTCGTCTTAGATGGCAGTAATCATGTTGAATCTTAGAATTAGCTGAAGTATGTAGGAGAGAGTTGTTCACATGAAGAATTAATTCTTGTTTATGGTGTATTTGTCCTAGAATGTGTCCAACTTCAAATAGCCATGCTTTGATTGTTTTGCAACAAGGCATTAGTCTGTAGGAAAAATATTTCTAGTAAGAAAGTCAGAGATTTGTGTAGCAAATTCTGCTTTTTTTTTTTTTTAATAAAGGAAAATTGCTATGGCAAACAAACACGAAGCTTAATCAAGCAGCATGTTGATATTAATTGCCATGGTTTCTTTTTTAGTGGTGGTCTTATTTAAAACATGTCTTAACACCTTGTGGAATCAGTTAACTATTAGTTTGCAAATGATATGGTGTTTCAACAGATGTGTAAACACCCTGCCCTTCCTAACAGGAAAAGGTCACAAATAACTCAGCTTTAAAGTTAGGGTTGATCATGTAATGCTCATGAAGGAAATGTGTTTCTTTTATACTGGAAAAATAGAGGGTATCCTGGTTCCTATTTTGGGACTGAAGTAATATAATTTTTTTTCAGGGGATCACAACACATGGTCCATTTTTAACACGTTTGTTTTAATAAAATTAAAAATAATATTCAATTAAAAAAAGCTGTGGTGTGATGTTCAATCAGGACGCTGTTGCATTCTTCACTTGACAGTATTTCATTCTGTCTGTGATGGGGGTTTGTTTTTACGGTTAATTTGCCTTCCCATAGTAGGGAGGACTGTATTTATTAGATCTTACCCTGCCTAATCTGTCTCAAACACCTGCTGGAAAGCTGTAATACAATGTCAACTGCAGTGGTGAGATAAGGACCTGATTTGCTTTTATTTGACACTGTTTCATATTTACCATATTTCTTTAAAAAACATTTTGAAAATTTTGGTTTGTGTGCATGTTTGTTTAGGCTGTCCCATCAATCACTGCTGTGTTTCACTTCCATAAGCAATGCTGTGGCTGACTCCAGTGTGTCCCCTGCCTGAGTCTCTTGATAATCTTTTATATGAGATGCAGTCTGTCTCCTCCCAGACTTCATACATCCACAGGCTTATTTAATTTTGAGACTTCTTTCATTTCACTTCACTGTTCTTTATTCTGTGGATAACTCAGTACTTCATGGCTTAGGCAGATCTTCAAAGAGACACTCATTGATATTGCTAGCGGCATAAGCAACATTCATCTACAAAGTGTGTTGCTTCTATGACTTGCTCCAATGTATGATTTTTCAGTTGCCTGTCGTGCTGTTTGCAACTGGTCAATTAGCACATGAATTAATTTATGAGATAGTATTTGTGACAAAATACTTTTCATCATTTTTTATGGGGTACTTCATAGCTTTTCTTAGATGTCTTACCACACTTTGGAGGCAGACAGTTGACACGTCATTCATGTTAGAAATAGCATTCAACAAGATATGTATTATTTTGTCTTTATATATACAAGCAATATTGTATTCTATATTCCCTGAATTGAAAGACATTACTCATTTTGATGTTTCCATATAAATATAATTTCATTTATACATGCTGACACCAGAAACAAATATACAGATGAAAAGATAAATTTTCAAAGAACAATACCCATGTATCATTACAAATATATTTCTTGTACATGTGTATATTCCTGTATAGTTTTGTGCATGAATGTTCAAATGAAGGACAAAGTGTTTCCCACATTTGGCTCTGGCAGGCTGAATTTTATGTGTGAAAACTGGACAAACATAAAGGTTCATTTTTGGCCTCACATCTGAGGAAGCTCTGCAGCATAATATTTTCCTCCAGAGTCCTCTTTAGGCTTGTATTTAGTAAATGAGCTTCAGATCTTCCTGTTCTGTGCTCTTCTAGCATAGGAAGAGGAGCTTTGGCTGGTCAAATACTGCCCAGCGAACAGTGACATGAGTGTAGCACATCTCCACCGAAGTGCTGCCTTGGGACAGGGATGTGCTGGGAACTGATCCCCATCTCCTGGCATCAAAGAGCCACCTGAACAGGCTGAGTCTTGCTTCCCTCGTGTCTTAACTCTTTCCTTCGTGTGGGAGTGAAGAGGCGAGGGAGAGGGATGAGAAGGTCGAGTGTAAACCAAGGTCCTGCCCCTGGGTAGGGAGAGGAGCCAGCAGGACCCAAGGGCACAAGGGAACTCCTGAGTCTGTCACTAAAGAAGTACTCCATGTAGCTAATGTAGCTGAAAATTTAGTTTGGCTGTCTCTTTACATCCTTAATGCTTTTCTGTGTATGAGGGAGAAAGCACTGTATAACTGGTAACTTTTATTATGTGACTTTCACAAGTACTTTTTGATTTTGTACGTGGCTGGTTTTTCATGTGACGAGTCCAACAATGCTATTATGTTTAGAGTTACAGAAAAAAACATATAGAGCATCACGCTATAGAAATTCTGGTGATTGTGTACTTACTTAATGACTGCTTTCCACTTGAGTTTAGAGCCAAAGTTACACAAGCAATTTTATAATCAAAAGTTACTGGGTTTGAACACTTTGCGTTCTTATGAGGGGGCCTCTCATGTGGGATTAAATTTACCAACTGCCAAAATACTAAGCCTGAAAGAGAAGGATGCCATTTCTCTTTTTTTCTTTCTCTAAGTCAGTTTATCCAGATCAGAATTCTGGGAATATTCAAAAAATAACAGCTGCTTTGTTACAGTTCTAGATATGTGTGGAAATGTGGAGTTGTTGCAGTTGATTTTTTTTGGTGTTGTTTCATTTGGCTTTGTTAATGGTGAGCTGCCAATGAAACAATTAAAATTCCACCCACTTCAGCACAATCTGGATAAACATGGGCCTTCAGAAGGGCTCTTTTAGTTTTAATCTGAAATATTTTCAGTCTTCATTCAGGGTTCTCATTATTTTTTTTACACTCTGTTCTGCTTTATTGGGGTCTGCTCCATAAAGATGATCCAAAATGCTTGATGCTTCCCTGGCTAATGACAGGAGTAGGTGAGGTGTGATCTCCTGCTCCCCTTCCATGGTTTTCCTGAGGTTCTCCATTGGCTATTTTTGTGAAAATGCATTCACCTTTAACTCTTTAAAATTGAGTTAATTTCTTTAGGGTAATTGTGGGTTGCCAAACAGCCTTCAGGAATAAGGAACAGACTCCCAGAGAAAATGTAGGTAATTTGAAATGATTTGGGGGCTCTCATCAAAAAGCTTTGACAAAGCTTTCTTGTATGTTTTTAAGTAGATAAGCATTAAAACCTTGCCTCATCCCATTGCTAGAAGAAATGTAACTGCAGATATGAGCTGTGGATACCTAGAGAAACAAAACTTCTTTTAATCAAGGAAAAGAGAAAGAAAGAGGTCACTGGGACTATCATTAAACCTGTGAAGTTTTTCTGGAAAATACAGACAAATGTGTGAATCACATCTCTAATTTCATTACAATTACAATAAATTAGAAAACCAAGAATTATTCAGTTGTCTTTTGTCTTCAGGTGCTTTTGGCATTCTCAAAATTTGCTATTTGGTCTTTTATGATAACTTCACAAGTGCTAAGGCTGTCATATGCTGTCTGAGTTATAAGCCTTTGTGTCTTGACTGGGTCTTCAGTTACTTTTTTATTAGTAACCTTTTAAATCATATTTGGGATTGCAGTTTGACTTTCATCACTGATTTCAAGTGTGTACTTAATTTAGTAAGTGAGGGACTTAAAACTTTTTGGATTATATTTCAGAGTTATTTTTCTTGCAAGATGATTTGTATTGATTGATAGCTGTTTCATGTGTTGAGTGTCAATAGCAATATAATCTTTTCCTTAATTTAGTACTTCTTTTGCTGTTCAGACTGACAAATTGCATACACACTCTTTGTTATAAATAGTGAATAATATATATAGCATGTAGTCATGTTTTATTTATGGTGATGTCTTGGAATTCAGTTCATGAGGCAGAAAATCAGTATTACAGAATTGGTTAAATAATACTGAGTACATATAAGAGAAGAACTGGAAAGTGTGTAAAACCACATTGTTATTGAAATTAAGGGAATTATCAGAAAATCAATTAATCAACACTGTATGTATATTAAAATTATAATTTTAATTTGGATCAGGTGTGTGTATTTTGAAGCCACTCTGTTGATTATCTGCACTCATTGAGCTTGATTGGGTTCACATCCTGGAGCAGCCTTGGAGCATGTGGATACAATTGTTTTTATATGAAATTAGTCTGCCAAATGCACAGTGTGTGCTCAGCCTACATCAGGTACTCAGGATCTTGGAAAAAGCAAACTGTGCTTTGCCTCTACATCTGAGGGCAGTTTGTTGGATATCTTGGACAGTATCTTGTCAGCCTCTTCTGCCAGGTATGTATAGATTTGGAAGGGAAAAAATCCTTACTTCCAATCAGTTCTCCAAGCTTTAAGGAATCCTGTTCTTTAACTGGGCTGAACTAAAGAAAATCCTCTTTATTATCAACAAAATAGGTTGCGATTAGAAGTTTGTTTTCCTCTTGAGTGTTTACTTCCTTGTAAGCTTCAGCAGCAGCTGTTTACTCTTCAAATTTAATATAAATTCTTTAATGCAACAAGAAGACTGAAGTTTAAAGTTATGAAATTTTCACATTCTGAAAGTTTATTTTTATGGAGATATTTTCTGAGTGTAAAGGATGTTACACACTGTCTTTAGCTGAGTAACAATGACTTGTGTGCTGTTTTAAAGGGTGAGATCTCTATTGTGTGCTGTTTTAAAGGGTGAGATCTCTATAGAAATAGTTATGTATTTTGTCAGTCACTGATACTTCTAGTCTCCAAAACCCTTGGATGCAAATTATACCTGGCCCTCATTATTTCTGCTCTTTGTCATCTTCATCTATAAACAGTGTATTTCAAAAAGAGTAAGTATGGATGTTACTCTGCTAATGTCCTTCCACTATAAAGATAGAATACAGAAGATGCAAAGAAATCAGACATCTTTTGCATATTTTCTTGCTGTCCCTTCTTGTATCTGTTTTGTTTGTTGTTATTTCAAAGTGTCTCTTCCAGAACATGGGTAGGAGCACCCTAGACAGGTCAAGGGAGATGCTTTTCCCCCTTGACTCTTGTGAGACCCTACCTGAAGTGCTGCATCCAGCTCTCAGGCTCCCAAAATAAGAAGGATGTGGATCAGTTGGAGTGGGTCCATAGGAGGGCCATGAAAATGATCAGAAGACTGGAGCACCTCTCCTGTGAGAGCAGGCTGGGAAAAGAAGGCTCCAGGGAGACCTTATAACACCTTCCAGTATCTGAGGGGATAGGACAATGGTGAATGGCTTTAAACTGAAAGGGGATAGGTTTGGGTCAGACGTTAGGAAGAAACTTTTCACTGTGAGGGTGATGAGGCACTAGAACAAGTTCCAGTGAAGATGAAGATGCCCTGTTCCTGGAAGTGTTCAGGGCCAGATTGAATGGGACTTTGAGCAACTTGGTCCAGTAAAGGTGTTCCTGCCCATGGTAGTGGGTTGGGAGTACATGGTCTTTAAGGTCCTTCTAATGCAGACCAGTCCATGATTCTGTATTTCTAAGATGTGATCTTGGAGGAAATGAAGCACCTCTTCCGTGCTCATGCTCATATCAGTAGTGATGTAAACACAGAACTGTCAGGGATGGGTGGGAAGAAAAGTCATGCTCTGCTGCCTCCCGGTGACCAGTTGTATCAGCGTGGGTGTCCCAAATACTCAGAGTTGTCTGTGTCCTTCTGAGGCAGCTGGCACTGGGCTGTGGCAAATAGAGCAAAGGAACAGTGCATCTCTGTGCTGGGAAGCAAGAAGTGTTTCTGTGGCTGGGGCCCACTGGTCTGTCCTTAGTGCATTTTCAGAACTGGCCCCGTGGGCTAGCAGGGACTGCAGCGAGGGAGGAAGAGCTGTTTTGGGTTCATGACTTTGTACTTTGCATGGCAGAGTGTGAGTCCCAGCCTGGAGCTGGCCGAGCAGGCAGTGCCTGTACAGCTTTTGTGTAGATATCCCATGAGAGCACAGACTAGGTGCCCAGTGGGATGCAAGTCAATGAACTCGTCATCCTTGTGCTCACCTGGCACACGGTTGCAGTTGTATATGCAACAATTGAAAGTGGAGTTGCTTTTGGACTGCCTAGGTCCAAGGCATGGAATGATGCTGAAAAAGAAGACTTTTTTTTGTTCAAATGAGATCTTTGCAAAATCCGTGCTTTTGTCTACTAAGGAAAGAATATTCCTTTTTGTATTTCTTTCTTCTAGATAATAAATGTACTTGAACAATGTGTTAAGCATCACAGCTCTTCTGAGTAGGGAGTGCTATCGACTCTTGGCTTATTTTCTAATGTAGTTTGGTCCCCAGTTTGACTACAGCAGCAAAACTTCAAAAGTATGTGCACAGAATTTTATATCCATTTCCTACAAAGTTCTTCTTTAGCATATTATGTGCTGTCATTTGATACTGCAGTTTTATATTCTTCCCTTCCTTTCCTACCCTGCTCCTACTGTGGTTTTCATATCTGTCAAAGTGGCTTTATGGCTATTTGCAGTTATTTACCTTTTTCACAACTCAAGTTTAGTATGGTTTATATTTTTCTTCCAGATTGTTACATTACACTTTCAGGTCATTAATCTCTACATTCTTTTCCCAGGGAGATCGTGGAGAAGCAGACCTCAATGGTCTCCTGGAATTTTCTTTAGCAGAGTCCA